ATGGAGGGGGAATTCAGGGTGGGGATTTTTTGGAAGATTTCGGGGATTTCTGCTGGGTGATGGAGAGGTTTTGGGGATTTTTGGGCTGAAAATTACATTTTTAGGAGGAGATACTACAAAGTCAGTAAAAAGCAGAAAAATCCAAGATCTTTGAATATTCCAAACTTATAGGATGCTCCTTGTTTCAAGCCAGCCATCCAAAAATGCTAAAAATGCACTTGAGATCATCTCATCTCTTTCGTATCAGGCAGGGCACTATATCCTAAATTTCAAGAACTTAAATAATTGGAGTATTTTCCAATGTTTTTTATACCTATTTGCCCAAAATTTCTTATGATTCTTATCTTCACTTTTAAGCCCCTTTAGCCATCTTCTGGGCTAGACCCTTCATAGAGAATTTTGCCAGCTAAACCTTCATTTAGATAGGTAAGGAATTCGGAATTCTCAGATATTTCCGAGGCTCCCTCACACATTGGGAATGGGAGGCCTTGCAGTTGGCCAATAATTGTTTGGTAGCTTAGACTTATTATTTTGACAAAATATTACATGGAAATACTACTTTCTTCGACAATTTTTGAGAAGCTTTTGACCTCTTAGTTCTGGAAGTCTTACTAAGATAGAAGGCACTAAATTTTATGAAGGTCCATATGATGGTCTCCTAGGTCTTAATCTCTATAGCATGAGATATAAAATTTAGTGTTTTTAGTCAAAATTAGTAGCTTCTTAAGTAAAAAATACCATCTCTGTTTTTAGAGATGGCATTTTGAAGATGGTTGCGAACAGAAACATTAATAATATGATTCTAAATTGCTGAGAGCATTTAAACTGCTTTGGGTTAGCTTACATTCTGTCCAAGGGCTTTCTTAAAGCGATATAAGAATTCTTAATACCTCCATGAGTATATATTACCTAACTTAGGAAAGGTAATAACATGGAGAATTATTAACTGCATCTGTTAATAGGAGTTTGAACTTTGTTAAAAATTCAGCTAAAAGCATAAAAATGAATCGAGTGTTCATTTGATTAAAACTGGAGCTGTTTTTAATTAGCCTTTTGGCTTCCCCCAGCTATGACTTCAATAAAAATAAACTGGGAAAGAGGGTTTACCTTTTTATTACCCATCTATCCATAACTTACATTTTTATTACTCTTGGGCTGTGAGCATCCCAGATAACCTCTTAGAAGCAGGTGGCCATAATTAAACCTCAAAGAACTGATCGTTGCTGAAATGAAAGGAATGAATGGATAATAAATCTGGGTCTAGAAGCCATCTTTATTTTCTAATACCATATAGAGGAACTCCAATTATTGTAAGCAGAGTTCCTAAATTTTTTAAAGTCCTTAGTAATGATTCTGAATAATTTTGAGGGTCTGTAGCCACCTCAACCTCTTTATTGAAGAAGCTAGCCCACCATTTTGGTTAAAGTTTATAATAAACAGAAAGAAATTCTATTGAAGAATCTAAAAACTCATAACTGTAGTTATTGTTCTGAAGGAAGCGAATGAAAAGTTGTAAAATTTTAGCTAGCTTTTAGACCAGTTTATGAGATATGATAATTAGGGTCTCCGCCATAATTTTGAGAGGCTGAGGAGCAATCTGAGAAAGTATACTATTCCCTCTATTTCAAGTCTGTTGGCCTTAGAATTTGACAATAATAGGTGATATAATATTTAAACTTATTGAGATATCGAGATGGAGAAAAAGGGGATCTCCTACCTCTATGTTCTACGAAATCATAGCTAATAAATTTTCATTTGGGTAAAAATTAACACATTCCAAACAGCAATGAAAGACATAAAGTGACTAATTTTTCCTTCAACTGTTAACCAAGTAAGGATCCTTGAAGTCTAAATGCCTCACAATTTCAACCTATTAGAGGAAAATAAAAGGATTAGTAAATTGAGATTTTAAGACAAAGATTTGAGGTTATTAATGCCTATCTAGATTCACTCTCAATTTTAAAATAAATATTCTGAATTGTCCGAGCTCTATAAAAGTTCTGGATATTGATGACAGGTTATAGGCCTGAGATAGCACCCCTCTTGAGTTATTTTATTAAAAATATTGTTAAGGAACTCTTCCAGTAAAGAGTAACTCGATATTTTAGAATATTACAAGACACTGATTCCGGAGAATAATGATGTAAATATCTTACTTTCATGGGGTAATATCTATATTTACTTTGAGTATATTTCGAGCAGAGAAAATAGGAATCAGATAAGTCTTATAATGGAATGTTATTAAAGGAGGCTCTGTCAATGTTACACCGCGCAAGTATTTCATTGTACTCTCACACTACGACAATTATGATAACTGCCTCTCATATTCCTTACTGTAATAAATCTGAGAAGAAGGTATGAAATCAAGTGATTAAAGAGAACTGAGTTTGAATTTCTTAAGATATTTCACCCTAATTACGCGAAAGTTTGAGAAAGATTTCCTCCAAGTAGTACATACTTGGTAGAGATGATTTTGTATTTCCACTCTCAACTTCATGTGCACGAATTGGAGTATAACAATGATATATTTGCTCTGGATCATCTTTGAATATTGGACATTAGAAAAAGCTCTTCAGAAGGCTTTAACTTATAATAATTAGGCTGGCAATAGAGCTTCTTTCATCTAATTTTTAACCAGACTTTAGAATGCGTTTTAAAAAATAAGTTATTACTAAAAATATTTTTAATAGATTCTGAAATATAGGCTCTGATTATTTTATCTAAAAACATTAAATTCTTATTCACTTGTGAAAGGATAAGCTATAGTTATCCTGAGGTTTATTGGCTATCTTCAACATAAAAGAAATATTTACAAATCACCTTATTTCTTCAGAATTATTTTCAAACATTTTAACCCCCGGAAAGAACCTCTGGCCTAAATTCTTAAAATTGCCACAAACCCCACCAAATAGAGCTGAAACAAACACTATAACCTTATTTTCAATAAAAACCCACAAGTGAGTGTATCTGAGGAGACAAAACCCTCCAATCCCTCAACCCCACCTCCCAACCCCTCTACAGGCCCAAATCTCCTAAGCACAGTTATAACCTTCCTTCCATGTATCCGTTATTACCCCTTTTGCCCATATATTTCCACCCACTGCCAGTCAGCCACAAAGAAGCAGCCTGAGGTGGCCACCTCAGGCTGCTTCTCTGCAGGGAATTTGAGAGTGTGAATGGAAATTAGGCAGAAAAATAGGTAGGAAGGATCTTTAGTGGTTCAGGATTTTAGGGTGACAGAGAAGGGAGGGGAGGAGAGGATTTTAGTGGGAGTGGGAGAGGGGATGAGGAGGGGTAAAGGGGTTAGAGTTGGATTGGGTTAAGGGGTGGGCAGGGAGTTTGGAAGGTAATGCAATTGGTAGGACTTCTGTGTCTTTTTGGCTGCTGATAAACTATTTAAGAAATTAAATTTAGGTTAATAATTAATAAGTTAATTCATAGGTAAGTTAAAGTCTAGCTCTTATAACTTCGAAACTTTGATGAAAGTTCTCTCTTAGCATTGTAATTAGAAATGATACACAGCAGGAGAGTGACTGAGTGCTAGTCTTTGTCTCCATTAAGAGAGGCTTAGGAATTTAAGAGATAGGTCTTTTGACTAGATAAAAGAAATTAAAGTGTAATATATTTTGACTGAGTATACTTTAAACTCTAGTATCATTGTTTACTGAGAGAAATATAAAAATTTAGTTCATCATAGGACTTGCTTCTCAGACATTTGCCTTATAGCTTAAATACTAAAATATTCGCTTTATGAAGACCCTCTTGATTAAAATTATTCAGTTAGGAGATTTCTGATAACAGGATAAATTATATCGCTGATATTATTAAGTGCACTTTATTTTTGTTCTTTCAACCTAATGATAGAGTTCGGACTACAGATAGTCAAGAGAATAGAAAAAGTACAAGAGCTAAACATTAGAGGTTTACTTAATTGCTTCTTAATATTACTTGTGCATCATTTCATGATGCCTTTCCTTTAGTCCATGTTCTGTTAATCCGAATCCCAAATTTGCTGAAATTGAGATTGACTTTGATTTAGGAATGCTTTACACAAAGACCAAACAGTAAGTGGAAATAGAAGAATTGAGAACTCCTGTATCTTGAAGAGATTTCATATATTAGGTGCTATATCAATGCTCTTACGACAAGCCTTGTACTATAGAAGTATCTACTGATTAGGGCTTAGAGGATAAACACTCCAGAGCTTATACGAATTATTTTAAATGCAAATTTTGGATTTCAGATCATATTCTAAATAGAAATTTAAATTAACTGTCAATGATGCAAAAATTTTGGACTTTGGGAAATCAATACTAACAATTTCTAACCTCTAGTATTGCGAATAACTTTTCTCTAAAGAAATGGGTGCTACTTCTTATTAACAATGGATGATCAATCATTAAATGCGATATTAGAGATTATTAACTTTGATAATTGTGTTTGCTCTTATTATATAACAATATCATCTTACCCTTGTAAAACTCAGGCATTTCGAAAATTGATAGTTGGCAACTTATCGCTCGAGCTGATTACTAAATCAAGTTTTATCACTTTGAGTCCTCCAAACCCAAGCTAGCCAAGCGAATAACTATTGTATAGAAACATAGAGACAAAGTTAGCCCCTCTGAACTCCATCTTCAACAGTTCGGTCCTATCCCAAGGTAAGTTATGTTTCATGTGAACGTTCTGAAGGAAGGTTATCTTAGCTTCGATATTCACACTAAAATATCACCTAGTCCTGCATAATTCTTTAAGGGAATCGATGGGATACAAAGACATAGTACTTCTTAAGAAGGAAAGACCCTTCTAAGAGATCATTATGAACTTTTTAATACCTATTCCATCCATTAAAAATAGAGAGATTAGTAAACGGCTAGTTAGCTTATATGCATCCCTAGTGCTACGAATTACGAATTTGAATCTACTATTTTTGAAAGGATTCTCAGAAACACGGCTTCTCAAATTTGGTTACACCGTTATGTGTAATCTTAAAATATGAAATTATGGCCAGGAATTCATACTTCCTATAACAGATTGGAGTCTTGAGACACATTGAGTTTAGACTATAGTCTCGCTTGGCATTAAACTGAGGCTTAATGGTGATATAGACTCCAAGACCGATTGAGTGTATGATAAGCCAGGTCAGGATCCAATAATTACAAAGGCATCAACTTCAAAATACCTGAGTAATTTCCAGTTGTTCATGGTAAATACTATTCTATTAATAAACTTACTAATTCCTTCCTAAAATCTAAAAGAGATAACAAACTCAGCAAGGATTATCAGTCCGTGTTACACTCAAGATTTATGTGTTAAAATTTTCAAATTTGCACACTTCTCTTTGTACTCCTAAATTTCCAATCAATATGCTGATATTGCTCTAGGAACTTGAAATGGAATACAATAAAGAATATTTGAAGAAGCCAATCTTCAAAACAAGTCTAGACAAAGATGCTTTAAATGGCAAACTAGACTTAATAGGTAAGTTTAAATACTTGATTTTATGTGTTTATTCCCATATAAAGGATGATGTATCTCATTCGATGGTTAGCCTTTGAAGTACCATATTCTTGGTTATTTATTGACTGTTTCTATAGATTTCCAGACTTCAGTAATGAAGTGGGCACCTCAACCTATTAAGAAGAAGTCCAATAAAGGCAGAAAGCGTACACCTGTTCACAATGCTTTCAGTATTTACGAGTTGATATACGACTCAGTCTTACCAAAATGGAAGAAGTGTCTGACTCTTAAAGCTAACAGAAGAACAGCCAAAACTCTGAAAGCACGGTCAGATACAGTTTGGAAGAAAATTTTGAGAGACGTCAGAGAATTTTACAGACTGCTATTCAGAGCCAGGTTCCACTACCTTGAGTATCAGAGCCAACAAGGAGCAGTTGCCTGCATTCAGACATTATTTTCTGAGCTCAATATTCCCCTCAAAGATGATGAAGAATACATTCATGGAGTATTCAGATATCTACATCAGTCACACAAAAGTAGATTTCCAGGACTCAGTGATAAAGCAATCCCTCTTGATGCAATTGAGAAATACAACGAACACTTCAGAAGTCTTTACATGAAAGACGACTTTGGAGCTAGACTGCTCTACTTCGTGTTCAAGAACTTCACCTACGAATATTGCCTACTAGTCAAGCCCAGGTACAGACAAGAAATCACCGAAAAAGTATGCATGCTACTGAACTGCTACAGAAGAATGAGCGAACCCGCACATTTAGAAAGAATCGAGTACCACTTGTTCTAATCTGGCATATATCTAATAAATCTCATATTTCGGTGAAATTCTATTGCTCTTTCTAGTCCTGGGGTTTTGGGGTTTTGGGGTTTTGGGGTTTTGGGG